CTTCTGCAGCTGCTGTCTTCTAAAAGCCTTTCTGCCACGTTACCTATCAATGTGGTCTTGGAATACTTCTGATTCAGGTTTCCCCTGGAGTTCTGCATCTTGTAAGGATTCTTGACACTGGCCATGTTAGACACAGTGTTCTCTTTGGTGTGAATTTCCGCATGTCCATTTTACTGATAGAGTTTATACAGAGACATCTTGCTCTGGAAACATATTTTCCACAAGTGATGTCACCTTGAGTTCCAAATTATTTCTTTGTGCAACTTGTGCTGTTATAGGTGTGGACAATTTATTTGCATCTAGAAATAATCCAATGTTTTCAGTCTCTTAAATGTCACTAGGATATAACATTCTGATTCTGCCATGTTTTCTGGGAATAAAGTCTTTTTAATTTGGGATAATGTCTTTGCTAAAATCTCATTTTGAGCATATGCCTGAGCTAAATCTGAGTTATATTTTGCCTTTTGAATTATTTAGAGGAGCTTTTAAAGTTTTCAGGTGGTTTGATCTAATAATTTTTAGATTTGATAGCTTACAGTCCAAAAAATATGGCCTGTATAATTGTTTTAGAAATTGAGGTTTTCTCGATTGTTTTTGTAAATGTCTGGTGGACATTTGGACAAAACTTTAGCTCTTGTGAATGAAGTTTCATTATATGGAGATTTAGCTAAGGTGATCATAATAGTCACTTTCTCTATTTTACACATCAAAACCAAAGAGGTCTGTTTGAGTATTATGCAGAGGTAGGAGAATTCTGATGTCACCTTTATTGTTTCTTTGTAGGCAATACATTTTCAATCCTCCCACCTCACCTCCATGTTTCTTACATAGTCATGTCTGTTCTGAGAAATGTGTTAGGTGATTACATTATTGTGCAAACATCCTACAGTGTGCTCATACCCTTAGATGGCCTATTGATATATTCAACAGAAGTGGTTAACATGAGATGTATAAGGCTGCTACCAATATAACATGGTGTAGTTTTACAGTAATCTTTTCTGGAAGTAGAACATTCTAAAAACAATAGTATATCAGTATCATTTATTATCAAGTATGATGTACATAATTATATTGCTATACTTTTTTGGTAGTAGTAGAGATTGAACCCAGGGCCTTCAAACTGAGCTACATTCCCAGCCTCTGTTTTTATTTATCTTGGAAACAGAGGATCAGTCACTAAATTTACCAGGCTGGGGTCAAACTTGCGATCTTCCTGTCTTAGCCACCCAGAGACCTGGGATTAATTATAGGTATGTGTCACCATGCCTATCTGTATGTGCAAAAAACAGGAACATGCAGGTTGTTTACATCAGCATCAGCACAAACCTGAAATGTATTGTGCCTCATTGTTGGATCAGGTATCAACTTTACTAGGTGATAGGAATTTTTCAGTTCTGTTCTAATCCTAAGTGACCACTGTTGTAGATATGGGCAATCTGTTGTTGACTTGAGGCCTTGTTATTTAGTGCATGACTGTTTTATTTGTTGCTTCTCTATTATCTACTGCATGTGTTCCTTCTAGTATTTCTCATTGGATTTCCTGGATGTAGAATTCACATTTCTTATGTGTCAGCTCTTCATCTCTTTATCCTTTTACTCTGAATTCTAAGATTTCTCTATTGGTAATTTCTGAGTTTACTACCTATATTTGTATTTTAGAACTTTGTCAAAATTTTTATTCAATGAAACCTTTCTCGATCTGATCCTTTTTGAGAACTACAACATTGTTGCAAATTGTTTAGTATTAAATTTAGATGTTAAAGTTTTCTCTTCTGCTCTGATTCTGTAGAATGAGATCCTATTTTCAAAATGCTACATCTTTCCATGTTAGCAGATTTTTTTTTTTTTTGGTACCAGGGATTGAACTTGGGTCCTTGCGCTTGCAAGGCAGGTGGCAGAACCACTGCGCTAAATCCCCGGCCCAATGTTAGCAGATTTTTAAAGAATTAAAAAAAATGCCTCATGGAGCTGGGCCTAGTGGTGCATGCTTGTATTCCCAGCACTTGGGCGGCTGAGGCAGGAGGATCACTGCAAGTTAGAGGCCAGCCTGGATTACATATTGAGTTCAAGGTCAGCCTGAACTACATAGCAAGACCCTATCTCAAAGAACCAAAACCAAAAACAAAACAAAACACCATGGATCATACTACTCAAATCTTAGTATCTGATCAAAATGAAAATAAACACTTTTCTCATTTTGTAGGTTTATTTTTCTTGGCCCCAAATTACTTGATTACAAAGTATTAGAATTGGTAAGTTCAACACTTTGCTAAGCATTTGTTTTGGGCCACCCAAATGAGCAGGGAGCAGTGGGTAGTATTTCAGGTCTTTATAGTGGATTTGAAAGCTCACTCACTAGAATCCTCAGGGAGCCAAACAAATATTCCCTCTCTGTTTACTGTGGCAGCCTGAAGTTACACATTATGCCTCTTAAGTAGTGGTCAAACAACTTTCCATAAATGCTTTCTTTCCTTAGTGAACTGTGGTGCCAAAGTGAGCCCAAAGCAAATGCTGCAATACACATGCTTCCTGTCTAGTACACATTTCCTTCAATTTGCCCACTGCTCAGTTTGGGGAATGCCAGACTTGCTTTGCAGGTTGAACTACAGCTAGTTGTGACCTGGCTGGGACTGGTTGCTACTGCCCTCAGGATGTCCACATCTGCTTCCTGTCCTTTCTAACCCCATTGAGAACATCCTTCGATGTTTTCCAACTCTTAAAAATGTTGCTTACGTCAGTTGAACTTGGGAAGAGAAACTAAAATTACAATCTTGAAATTAAGAGTCCTTCTACCACGTCACCATTAAATTCATTGTCAAATAGTGGACAGAGAATGCAAGCCATTTCAATACACTGTTTTCTACTCCTTTCGTACTACAAATACCTTTCAAATAAAGATCTTTTTTGGATCACGCACAACAAAATCAAACTACACTAAGTCCCTGACTTACAAACGAGTTCTGTTCTGGGAGAACGTTTGTAAGTCAGATTCATTTCTAAGTCTGACACACCTTTGACACAAATATACAGTGTAAAGCATAAAAAAACTTCACATGCTCCATGATCTTGTCCATGTTCTTTAGAATTGTACCCCATGTTCTTCAGAATTATTACAAGAACAAGTGACATCTACCTTTTTTTGCTTCAGTCCAGTCTCTCAATTATTTTCACTTTTGTTTCCATGGTTATTGCTTTGCGCTTCCTAGCAGTCCCCTCTATATCATCACTGCTTTTCCTCGTTTCTGGACATCCTGGGCTCTGATTGAGCACTGTACTACTGTACACTTCGCACTGTACAGTAAGCACACAGCACAACTGTGACAATGTCCAGCAGACACGTGAGCTACTTCTGGGATTTGCTGGCATCTATGAATGTTCATAATGCTAAGTCTGTTATTATCTGGAAAGTTTGCAAATCCAGTGTTTGTAAGTCGGGGACTTACTGTTCTGTATTCCTAGTGATTTAAAGGAAAGCAAATTTAGGGACTGGGATTTAGAAATGGCTGTATTTGGCAATTCTTGTTCAGGGTAACAAAATGATCCGAAAACTGCCTAGTAATTGCAACAATAACTGCAAAAGCCAAAAGAAAAACAAAATATTATCGAATGTACTAACTTTGGTTTTGTACCCAAACCACAATGCAAAAGACTGGGAAACTAGGCTTCATTACTTGTTTCTGCACTATATATTCATTGCTGCCCTATTATGAAAACATGGTCAAAAGCACACCTACCAATGTTCAGAAGGACAGCTGAGGTATTTTGATTGCTGAGAATCTGAAACTTGAAAATAATCTCGGGCTGGTGATTTAGTGCAGTAGCACCGTGCCTGTCTCACAAGCAACAAGGTCCTAAATTTGATCCTCGGTACTAAAAAAAAAAAAAAAAAAAAGAAAATCATCTTATCCACAGGCTGGGTGTTGTAGCTCAGTGGTAGAAGCCGAGGGGAGTAAGGAAAATATTTCACATGCTACTTTTAACATTATCTTTCATGTTCTTTCTATACTTAACTGTAAACAGTGGTGGTGGGTAACTAGATAGTTGATGATTCCTTGCGAAGATATTTCAGTTAATAAATGACTGGGTTTCTCACTGGGAGGGAGAATGAATATATACAGGGACTTGAGATACAATGTATTTCATGGGTTCTGGTTAGAGCCTTATTTTATTGTTTTGGGGGTCTTTTTGGTACCGGGGATTGAACTCGGGTCCTTGCGCTTGCACAGCAGGCAGCAAAACCACTGAGCTAAATCCCCGGCCCTAGAGCCTAATTTTAAGAAGCTTATTTCAAAAAATCTGTGAGACTTATTGGGGAAATTTAACACTGGATAGTCAATATTTAAAAAGGAGAAATTTTTAAAGGTGTAATGAAGAATTTTGTAAGGTGTGTTTGTGTTAAAATGTTATTTACAAATGAATTATGTCGGATTTATTTCAAAATAATCGAGAAAGCAGAGGGGTGCTAACACAGATGGAGTACTGGTAATGCTTACACATAATTTTGAAGGCTGGGTAGTAGGTGCATGGAACATAATTATACCATTTTTCTGTACTTCCATACGTTTAGAATTTTTTTCTGTTAAAATGAGTAAAAATGATTTAAATGTATTTAGTCACAGAAAAGGTTACCTAGTATAATTCATCTATGGTGATTTCTGTACAAGTTTGGAAGGTTTCTGTAGACACTAGGCGAGATGAGCGTCAGGGCCTCAAGGCCTTTGCCTTTGAAAAATTAACAGATGGCAAAGATTTTCTAAAAGTTATTCATTTATAAATGTTAAGTGGAATGAAAAATGTACGTATTCCAACTTTGATACAGAACTTCCACTTTTATCTAATTTCCAAGTCAGAGTAAGGTACACTTAAAAAGAAAGCTAACATTACTACATGTTCTAATAAACCAAGATGTGATTACGTTTGTGAATCCAGAAATATATTTGGGGCTACAACTAGTTTGATATTGTAAATTATTTCTAACTACACAGAAAAGATGCAAGATGTAGTGTTTGCTTTTAGTTTATTAATTTATTTTGCAGGAATCTGACTTTTTGAATATGTATTGTTTGGAGGTATGATGCATGCATAGCCTTTCAAAATGCCTTTGTACAATTTCATCTCAAAATAATTTCATTCACAGCATACACAGAAATCTAAAACATGATATTTACATGATTTGATACGTTCTTACCGCTTTAATGAAGAAACTGAATAATTCTTTTACAGTAGGGAGAGAAAAATGGACATTGGTTGTCATAAATAAGAATTCAGAATTGTTCAGTCTCAAAGCAACCTTTCATGGCTTTAGAAATTAAAACTGAGTTGTCATTCTATTAATCTCTGAATGCCCAAGCCATGCAAACTCTACTTGTATTAAATATTTGGGGATGCAAATAATACAGAAAAAATGTCTGGTGAATATGAAAACATCATCAGAATTAACTTTCACAATAGGAAAATACTGTTAATTCTTTCAAAAAGATACAGTAGTGGTGCAACAGACAGTGCCCAATTTATTCTGATTTTTTAAAGTAACATTTCAATTGTTTTCCTTTCTCTACAGATATACAAACACACACTGTAACATACTTATTCAAGGTCTAACAATGGTACAATATTAAAATAATTCAATTTTTAACAATAAAGGGACATCTTCACATTCCAGGATACATCATGGTTTTTTTGTTTTGTTTTGTTTTTTGTTTTGGTACCGGGGATTGAACTCGGGACCTTGCGCTTGCGAGGCAGGCGGCAGAACCACTGAGCTAAATGCCCGGCCCCATGGTGGATATTTTTAAAGGACAATCCTATGCTTTATATTCTTGCTTTTTGTTTATACTGTCAGAAAGACATTACAGTTACCTTTTAAAAGACTATATAAAATTGAATTGCCACAGAAAGGATATGAACCCTAAATAATTGTGACAAAGCAATGACAAAATTTAAGGAAACATTGATTTCTTTTAGAATTAAAAAGTACTAAAATTGAGACCAGCTCTTTAAAAATTAAACTGCTTATCACACTTCCCATTTCTTCCAGGGAAATAGACAAATTAGCAACACTTTCCCCACCATCATTAATCTGTTCTAAAACTACATTTTTACAACACATTTGTTTCTTTAAAACCCCCTGCCTCTACTCTCTCCCAAACTAGATCAATATTAATTCAATACATTTTACAATGCCTAGAAAGCTGCTGGCTCCTTGTTACCACTTTAAACTTTTTAAGGAACTCCAAAATTTAAGGGACAATGTACTTACACAAAATGCCAAACATGCTTTCTAAAAACCCAGTTTACAATAAACAGTGAAATAACGTAATGTAAAACGTACAGGCAGGTCTGTATGTTACCAGATACATCAAACCAGATGTATTTTAGGAAAAGTAAACCTCTTACAACAATCAAGGAGTGCACCAGCTGATCCAAAATACAGGCACCCCAGCAGCCAAGCATCACCCCATTATACCCTACCACATATGCCAGTGTTTATGCCCACCAAACTGACTAGAAGATCCTTTTAAAAAGGCACCTTGAAAGTTGGGTGAATTTTATTAAAACTGGTCATAGGCAAGAAGCAGTCTGTATGGGAAACAGTTCAATGTGTCAAATTTATCAATGTCAAATTATTTTTTGCTCACTTTTCAAAACTGAATATAGCCTATGTTGGAATATGAAACTTGTGCACAACTGAAAATTAATGTGTACAAAACTTCCTTAAAATCTATCTTTGATGTTTCATATCCCACCCTCCACACCTAGCAAACAGACTGTTTCCTCATCTCCCCTGGCAGGTGAAAGCAATGATTGACTGGACATATCATCAAAGGACTGAAACCATGCATCTACTGTATGATAACAGTTTATTAACCTTGGTGTATTTTCATGCAAGTTTTAAAGTCATCTACATGGTTTTAATAAAGTACTGTATCAGACTGTTTTCAGACATGCTACTTTCATTTTCAACTGACAACTGCCAAGTTAATTGCCACCACTGCAGCATATCACTATGAACACTGGTAAACCTTTTTAGCTAGAACACCAAGCAGTATATATATGTATGTATATATTTTCCCCAAAACTGTTTAACACCAAGTGGGGCTGACCACCACTAACAAGATATGAAACCACACAAAGGCAAAGGCATCTTACAGAACAGTAGGACTACTAGACTGTGTTATTAGAGTGACAGAGACCAGTGTTACAAAAATCCTTTAAAGATCACTGCTCGTGCTTTTAAGCCCATCTGCTTTCTCAGCATTATTTTCACAGTTTTGCCACAGTTATTGTATTAAAAGATGTTTTAGCAGTATAATTATATAACCATGCTTACCTTGGGAAACAAGAGGAATTATTTTGGGGAGTTATTCCATATATGAAAAAATGTTTTCAAAGCTGTAGGCAGTGTGTGAAATTATGATTTCAATGGAAAACTATGATGAGTTATGCCTTTGGTTTCATTACGCTATTAAGTACAGCTTGTTTTTCCAGGTCTGCCAGATTTTACCGCTAAATTAGAATATAATGACAGCACAGAGTGTGTGTGTGTGTGAATGGGGGGGAAGGGGCACCTGTATTCCTAAGGTCATAACCTCTGGTAAAACCCTTCAGGATGGGAAAACCTACCACCTTTGTTGCTGTTCATCTTCACCAAAACAGCAGAGGGAGGGTCCAAAATCCAATTCTGAACTGCGCTTATCTGAATGTTACTAATTTTTCAGTGATGCACCCTAGTGAGTCACACTAAGTTCTGTTTCATAGTGCTTTACTATTACCTGAATTGCCTGAACAAATTCAGTATGTTTTCTGAGAACAGTTACATTCAATTTAAAATGTTTCAAATTCTCCATACTCATCTTTGTTGTGTATGCCGGGAGGGGGACTGGAAGATCAAACCTAGCTTTGTGCATGCTCTGCAAGCACTCTACTGCTGAGGTACAGGCCCAGCCCAGTAATTCTTTACTAGCCCTCTCCTGCTCCCCAAATAATGCAGTGTACAACTTTATGATATTGGCCAACTATATTTTCCCTCATGTTTTCATAAACATGTGCAAATAAATCTTTATTGAACAGTTAATATTTTTTTCAGCTAAATTAGGATTATGGCACAAAGCATTATCTATGCTGTAAACATCATGAATTCATCACTTAATTAGAAGGGGGGAACAACGGCCTGATGGACTACAAACATTTCTTAACCACAGCGGAGCTCAAGATTTCCAAATGACTTCTGGAATGGACTCATATTTGGTACACATTCACTATGCTATTGGCAAAGTGCAGTTTTATGAGAATGTCATTTATAAAATCATAGTTTGTAAGGGTTACTTTTAAAACCATTGGCCTAATAAAACATATAGTAACTTAAGATGTATTTCTTATGTGGCATAATTAGGTCTTAGTTACCAGTGCTAATATAGGGTTGATGAATCACTGTACAAACCAAAGGGATCTTACTGCCTCTGATTGTACTTTCCAACAAAGGGCATGATCTGCCTCATTCCTGACTGCTGCAAATCACATTTTAAAATATCTGTGTGTATGTGTGTTTGAAACTACCCCTGAAAAAAGCAGCAATTACAAATACCCTTATTATTTTGCCAAAAAATGTATTTGGGGTGCTTTTCCCCATCCTTCTCTTTACAGGAAGCAGCAGGAAGAAGCACAGGGAGCCCTGGTTTCCCAGAGAGATGTGATCAGAAAAGTCCGCTCTGGAATTCACAGTTTGCCTGCATAAACTGTAACATTTCATACCACGATTCAAAGTTCAACTTTAAAAAATAAGGGCCACCCAGCAGTAACTTTAACGACTGGGATTCCACAGAAGAACTCTTGACTTCTCTGTGTACATTCTTTCAGGAGCGAGTCCTTTCCTGGTTTCAAGTAACCCTTTCCACCTCTTACTCTGCAATGAGTTAAGGAAACAGAAAGACCTCCCCATCTTTCCTTTGTGAGCACAGTGGCTGAGGTGCCATTCCTCCTCCTCCTCCCCTACGGAGTCAGAAATGACAAGGCTGGGCAGATGAAGAGATTCCCGAGGTTTCCTTTTCTTCTGGCGGGTGCTTCAAGTTTCCCTTTCGACCCGGGGCCAGCTCTTCTGAATTCAAGTGTACCGTGGCATCTCACACTGCTCACAGCGATTCAGTGCTGGGTGGTTGAGAAAGGTGCAGCTGTCACAATTCCACGGAGCCCCTTCATAGTCTTCATCTCGGGACTGTGTCCGAGGACTAGGTTTGGAGCCACACAGATGGTCTGAGGGAAATGAGCATTAAAGGAAAGAAGAGGGGAAAATAGATGAAAAATTTTCCTAGGATAATCCAAACGAAAAACTACTCCCAAAAGCGAGCGGGGTAATTTCCTGGCTTATCTAATGTGTAAGCCAATTAGTAAACATACCTGTTGGAAAAGTGTAATTGAACAAAAGGCTTGTGAGGGTTTGCTTTTTTTTCTTGGCTATAAGAAGATGGAGGAAAGTCCAGAATAGACTGCCTTCCTAGTTCATTCCCAACAGTGGCTAGTTAGGCTTCATTCCAGTCAAATGAAAAAAAGTATTATAGCATGTCAATTCTATCTCCACAAGTTGTCCCAGACAACTTCAGCCTACTTTAACCCTGTCTCTATGTACTATCCATACCACAGTAAAGAACTCATTAACCGCGCACCTTTTTCCTTGAGACCTTAAGCTCCTTAACCTCCAACGATATGCATGTTTTATACTAATAGTTTATAAATGGCAGGAATGGTTCGTGACAGTTTTCCCCAGAATAGTGAAACGAGAATGATACCCTGTACAGTTAAGTTTTCATAAAACTGAAATCCATTCATTCTGATTCCTTCCTACCTTATAGGGATAAAATTGTTCTTCATATATTAGTTTTGAAAAATGTCTGTAGCTGGCTAGCAATCTGATGTTGACTTCCAGGATTTAAAACACACACACACACACACCCCACTTGTATTCCTTTTAAATCCTCATTTTCTCTCGCCTTGTGTACAAAAATGCTCTGCTCCTACAGTTAATCTGTAAATCCTCCCTTTTAGGAATGGTCTCTGATGAGTGGGGTCTAAAGATCTTCAGTTGGAATTCACCCTGGAATCCGGGCAGGGTCAGGAGGCCAAACGCATCCACCTATAGAACACTGGAAACTCTCACTATGTTGGAAATGAGATTAAGATCTAAGGTAAGCAATCTTTCTAAACAGAGAAAAGAAACAGATGTGGGGAAGCTCTGTCAGATACTGTTTGGAGGCCAAGCATACCTTCCACTGAAAATTAACTAGCTGACTTCTGATTTGTCAATTTGTTTTTCGTGACAAATGGCTGGTATAAACATTCCCTAAAGAGAACTGAGGTTTAGACCCTGAACCTTACCTCCTGATAAGCAGGAAGGTGATCTTAGTTTTACAATATGATAGAAAATTACTGGGTTCTTTAGCCTATTCCTGTCACTCCAAACAGGAGATGGGCTTTTGGCAGCCATGCTCACCCATCTCTGTCTTTTGCCTTATGACTCCAAAACATGTAGATTTAGTACAGTCTTCTTTTTTGTCTTGTATGGAAGAAGAAAAAGCACATTGTTGAAGTGTTCTGTTATGGGAAAAATGTTTACTATGCCATTTCCAGAAAAGGTCCTCTTTCGCATAGCAGCTTTTGTCTTTTAAAAGAACAATATGCCTGAAAACCTAATTAAAAATTACACATTATTACTGCTGGTTTTGAAAAAAATAGGCTCTCAAAATTCAATTTTCTCTTTTCCCAAGATAGGGAAGGATAGTTTTGAAAAATGTCTATAGCTGGCTAGCAAGCTTATATTGCCTTCCAGAATTTAAAGAGACACACAAAAAACCTTTTTATTTCATGAAGCAATATTTACTACAGAGGAAGAAAAGACATTAAACTCTTAGCCATTACCCTGTTTTTCTATGTTAGTTCCAAATGTAGCCTTCAACTTTTGACTATGGTGATATGTATGTTTACAGTGAAAATGTTTTTCAAAGCACTATTTTTTTTTCTAAACTATAAAACTGGAAATCTTTTTAAACATAACTAACTCAGGATATCTTGGGACGCCTACCTGTTTAATACCATGACAATTTAATTTGGAATAATCATTCTGATGTAACTCACCAAAACATTTTCTTTTTTTTGGTACCGGGGATCGAACTTGGGTCCTTGCGCTTGCTCAGCAGGCGGCGAAACCACTGAGCTGAATCCCCGGCAACAAAACATTTTTTGAAAAAGATTATCTTAGAATTTTTTTTTTTTTTGGTACCGGGGATTGAACTCGGGACCTTGTGCTTGTGAAGCAAGCACAGTGGCACTGAGCTAAATCCCTGGCCCAAGATTAGAATTATTTTTAAAGAAACTGCTCATTTCATCAGAGAAGTATTTTAAGATGTCTGTTCACATCTGATTAATATGTATGCAATCTTTTCTTTTTTATGAAACTTAAAAAGAATATTTCATATTATTTTCAAATGGATTAATTGTAATAGGCTAAATTTCCCATGAAAATGAAAAAGCCTCACAAGTATGCAACTAAATATTTTTAAAATTTAAATATTTTGTACAGAAGTTTCAAGATAAATGAAAAACTGCATTTTTGGCCCCAAATGGCAAATATGCTAATGGTAAAGGAGGGTTATTTTTTTTTAAACTGTGTAAAGTATATCTTGTTTATATGTTTGTTCTTAGGATGGGATCTTTTCAACTAGTTATACAATATTCTTTATGCATTCTTAAAGGAAATGTGGTATTTATACACAATAAGTACTATTCTGTCATAAAGAAGGATAAACTTGAGACATCTGTAGGTAAATGGATGCACAACAAGCTTAAATATCACATGGTTTCTCATATATGCGAAACTCAAAATATAAAATGAAGAACAAAATAAACACAGGAAGACCGATTTGAAATGAGGACAGGAACAAGAGAAGGAGAAAGGGAAAGGGGATGAAAAAAAAAAGAACTGAAGAAGAAAACTGGAAATCGAGCTTTAGCAAACGGGAAGGGGACCAAAAGCTGAAAGGAGCATGGAAGGAAAAAGAAGGAAGATGTGTTATGTACATGCACCAACTCCCCATGATGAATGTAATCATGATGTACTGCAAACATGTACTAATAAAAATTTTTAAAAAATTAGTAGAATACTTGCACAAGCTCAAACATATATTTTTAGAAACTTCATTTAAATTGAATGTCAGGATAAAGCTGAAGCAGTATAAAACTTCAGTGAGAAGTTTGTAAAATTCGGAGCTTCCAAGTCATTTTAAAATTATTTATTTGGTCTTACTTTTAATATACTGTTTCCTTAGAGCTTATCTGTCAATTTTGGTGGCTACTGAGCATTTGAAATGAATGTCAGTCCAAATTGAGATGTACTACACGTGTATAAAATACGCAACACATTTTGAAAGTTTAGTTTAAAATAAGGATTGTTACATATCTCACTATACAATAAAATTAATTTTACCTTTTTGATGTGGTTACTAAATATTCTCAATTATATATGTGGCTTACATTTCCATTGGACAGGATAGTCTTAGAAACTCAGTATAGAGAATAATTTTTGAAAGTAAAAAAAAAAAAAAAATCCAAGGTCTGCTAAGTCCACATAGGTTAATGTGTTTTGGACATTCTGCATGATCTCTGGACACACAAGTACAAACCATCTGCAGCTGCTGCCTGGGTGTCATGGACATCTGCCTGTACTTTGGAGGTCACGCTAATTCTTCGGGCTTTTCTCTCAATTGTGCAGGGGTCTGAGGAGTCTGCATAAGAAGAAGCAAAGCCAGTAAGAAGGGATCAAGTCATTCTTCAGCAAGATGGAACAGGTTTACAAGGACAGCTCATGTAACCTACACAGCTGAGTGCATTTATTCTTACTACTTCATGTTATTTTAGGTCCCCTTGTGAGGGCAAGTGCTACATTTAATGCTGCATTTACAACCTATGCAGAGCAGGGGTTCTTTGAACTTTTTCCATCCTCTTCAATTACTTGGAACAAATGCCCTGTCTTTCCCCAGATTCCCACTTTTCAGTGGAACAAGGGTATAAACTCAGCGATAGTAATTAATGTCAATGTGAAAGCCAAATTTGGGAGATTATACTTCAGTGATTTTCTGATTAACCAACAGCTAAAAAATTACAAGGTGAAAAAAGGGTAACCACTACAAATAATAGTGAAAAAATACAACTACAAATTTTATAATTAAAAAGCAAAAATAATAGTACTTGGAATGTCAGACCAATTCAAAATAATACTATTCCTGACAAACAAGTGCTCCCAAATGATTTTATAAATTCCAATTATCTATGTGTGCCAAAGCCTGGCAGACACTTTGCAACATGGACAAAAACTGTAGGTACCCCAATATCATGCTAAAATACTGTTTCTATGAATTTATAGGTTATTAGCAAGCAACATTTTATATTAAGTGAACAGTGGCAGACTCCATGTTATTTGGCCTTAAGAGCAAAAGATCTCGTATTCGCTGATCAGTTCTAAGCCCATATGAAATCCCCTAGTACAACCCACTATTAGAAATCACTGCTCCACAAGTGTAAGCATGGCAGCTTAGGCACTTAAACACTCATTATCAGAGCAAACATCTCCTCAGGCTCCAAAGAGTAAGGTAAAGTTCTACTTGTCCCATTTGTTAAAGTACTTGCGTGGCATCACATAGCTGCATCTCACTGACTCAACAAAAACCTTACAGATTCGCAGATTATCACATTAGATCTGAACAGGGTCGGGTGGCCAAGAAGACCACTGTCACCCTGTGAGTTTCCAAGGAGGGAGCAGGGAGATGTGCTGAGTCATCCGAGGAGCACATGCTCACACGTGAGTGCGCAGTACTGCTTAACTGCAAAGCTCAATCCAAAAAGGTTTCTCTTTCCTTCTGTTTTTTTCTGTCATTCTCTAATTGCTACCCTTACTCACATAGACCTAGACTTTTGAATTTCTAGTATGTATCTGTACTACAAGACATTCAAAGAAACCAGTTCTACCAGCTATTAGCATTTTACTGTTCTTTTTTTTATGTTAGTGTACTTTTAGAAAAGGCCACATTAGTTTAAAAAACAAAGTGAGAATATTCAAGTACTGAACAAAGTAAATTTGACTTCATAAAACTGAGTAGCTTTTTATAATTCTGTGATGAAATGGCTTCTCCCCAAATTATACAATTTAATCAGGTTATTTAAAAATTTTAACAGAAAAAGGTAAAGGTTTAAAATAACAGTACCATTTTATATTCTAACCAAAATACACAATTAAAGTTAAACTAAATGTTGCTGTTTATATAGAATTTGTTTTAGATGGCTTTCTAGTTTACCTTTTATTAAAATTGCATACACACAGAGAACAAACTGCTTGGGATAAGGCGTCATCTTTGCTCTGTAGGATCAAGCATCTATCTAATCAACCTAGATATTAAACATTTTAAGAAAGTGGTAGTAGATGGACCCATTACAACTAACTCTGAGGGACCATATAATAATGGCTTTAGCAAATTTTATTTGAATTAAATGAACCATGGAAAAGAGACTTACTTGTAGAGAGCTAAAGCCTGATATTAATGAGACTACCTCATAGAATATTAATGTAAGCCTTGCAAAATTCTAGCCAAGCAGGATAGCAAACCGTAACCTCCCACCTCAAATACATGGTGTTGATCCAGAGACAGCAGAATGGCATATTAACACCACCGCTGCATCTGGGAAAACCACAACTTCATCTGGGCTCTGACTATCCATCCCATTACCTCAAGAAATTTTCTTTCTTTTTGAATGGTCTTTCATTATATGCATATTCCTTTGTAAAGTGTCTGCTCAAGTGTTTTCTTTTTTTAATATATATTCTAGATACCAGTGTTTTATGATACACATTTTGTGAATATTTTCCCCTAGTCTCTTTGAGCATAAATGTTGAATTTATTGTTTACCCTGTCCTGTCTAAAAACATATCTAAGCTGCAAAACTATTGTTTTTTACTGGAAGCTTTATGGTTTTTTACTTAGGTATATAACTTAACTCAAATTTTTATATATGATGTGAGGCAGATAAAAATTTGGTTTTTTCCCCCACATGAATATGCAGTTCTTCCAGCCCTACTTGAAGACTTTCCTTTCTCCATTGGTTGTGTACGTCTATTAAAAGTCAACCAACAAGGTGAGTGGGGATCTACATCTGGACTCTATTTTATTCCAATGATCTATTTCTTTATTCCTATGCCAGTATGATTATTGTAGCTTTACAGTAAGTCCCGAAGCTGGTTTGTGGTTTTGCATTTTCATTTTAGAATCAATTAATTTCAAAAAGCCCACAGAGGTTATAATTGTTTATCTACATGTAAATCTTGGAAGAATAGGTATCTAGTTGTGGTAACTTATATTTTCTCTTTTTTTCCATCTCATTATGTTTGCTTTTTTAAAGTTTTCATCTTAGATCACTGATTTTAGATCTTCTTGTCTTATATGAACACTTAAAGAATTTGGTCTTGCCCAGAGAGGTCTGACTTTGTCCCCAACTCCTGGGAGTTATATCTAAAACTTTGAAAGTATTAGTCATGTCTTTGTATGGGTCCCTTAGACCATACCTCAGAGTTGATGCTAATGAGGTGCCACATGGAGGACATACTGTCCACCATTTCTCATCAGTGCCGCCCTCTGTCCTTAGGGTAACAACTTCCTTACACAGAACAATTCTTCCATGACAGCCCTTGAATCAATTAAATGAAGTTCATCTGCTGGATTTCTAGTAAGTGATACTTCTTTAGTAGACACTTAGGCAAAATCAAGTTTAAAGACTCATACTTTACAAACCCAAAGGCTAAAGTGATACCTATTTCTGTACAGCCCAGTGACTTTTAGGTGAAACTACATACCATGTTTGTATGGTGCCAAATTTGGCACATCCACTAAGATGCTTCTTTGTACCATTTTTAGAAATCACTGGCTATTTCAGATGTGGATTTGATGAAATATCCATGGTAGTAGTAAAGAATAAAAAGACCAGATTCTGTGTTACAACTCAAATGAAACATAAAAACACTACTAAGTATACATGGAAAACTGTTCAACCAAAATTCATGTAAGTAGGTCAAGTTATATTATTTAGATAGAATTTAAACATTCTCTACCTAAAAATAAGTCTGATCAGGTTTTAAAATATTGTACCCTTGGGTGACTTTTCAAGAAATGCATTCTCGGGGCCTGGGATTTAGCTCAGTGGTTCCGCTGCCTGCCTCGCAAGCACAAGGTCCTGAGTTTGATCCCTGGTACCAAAAAAAAAAAAAGAAATGCATTTTCCACTATGCAGTATGTCTTCATCATTAAACTATCTTGAGTTTCTTTTTTTTGGTACTGGGGACCGAACTTGGGTCCTTGCACTTGCGCAGCAGGCAGTGAAACCACTGAGCTAAATCCCCGGCCCTATCTTGAGTTTCTACTTTAGTTCAGTTTTGAGAATTATAAAACAACATGGGCTTTTAGACAGAAAATGTTAACCTATATTCAGTGACTCAACATTTCAGTTTAATTGAAAATAATGCCAATTAAAGTTTGGTCCATAAAAACAGGGAAACAGATTTGATGCCTTTAAATTATTTCTATGTAACAAGCATCTGAAAATAATCCCTCCAAACCTGTTATGAGAGATTTTTGTCCTTGACGAGAAAACACCTAAGTCCCTATCTAATTGCTAGGTTCATCTTTTGAGTATACAGACTCTTTTTGTTGCCTTAAAAACAATCTACCACAGATCTAATTTGCAATCTGAGACCTTCAAAATTCTCAATTTTCATTGTTTTATAAGAACCAATTTTAAAAGTGCTGAGTAAACTCATGTTAACTATAATACAGTTTCAACTTTTTAAAAAAATAAATTATATCCCATAGAAATATCTGACAGTAATTTTATGAGTTATTAATTTTAGTGGTTTCTAAAAAAGTTTGGAGACATCTCCTTATCACCACAATAACATTAATATGGTAACTTTATGTTTAATAAGTTACTGAACATCTCAAATGACATTTCTTCAAATATTTATGTGAGGGCCTAGAGAATTTTGTTATTTAATTCTATATTTGTAGCATGTCCCTACTCACCTTTTTTAGATGGTTTTGGTGGTACAATTGGGCCAGGTTCTATGTTGTCATAAAAATTATTCATAGCTTTTGGATCAAAGTTTCCTATAAAAAAATTACCAGCATTTAGGACTCTTTCTCAAAAAGAAAATATATAAATAAAACATGTATGAAAGGAAATGTTTCTCAGGGTTTCAAACATATTATCCTAATCCTCCTCCAAATGAAACAGTGTTTTCTTTATCATTATTAGAAAAGATCCAGGAAAACTACACCGGTGTTTATCTATGCATTTCCTGAAGGAATATTTCTAATTGTAGCCTTGTCCCCTTAGGCAGTATTTGATGAGGCAAATGAAAAGAAGTAAAAGAATGGCTAAACTGTTTCTTTCTGCATATTCTGATTTAATGAACAAACTATAAGAAAGAAGACAAACAGTGAAAGCTCCCTTTCCTAATTTACCTTAAAATTTAATCCATTATAAACTCATCCATGGAAGAAGCCCAATATATAAAGATTAATCAAGTTATATTTTGAGACATTTAAGCAACCTGGATAAATGTGAAGTAACAGCAGTTCATGGATTCCTATTTTCAAGAAAAAAAGAGAATCTTAAATTCCATGTTAAATGATGTTTACAGACTTGCCAATGATAAAAGACATGTTTCTAATTCCAGAATAGATAGGATGGTCCCTGAGAATGTAGTTTTGTCACAAAATTATCACCTCTTTTAAAATGTTCACTCCCTGATCTAGTGTCTGTATTTCTGCCATCTCTCCTACTGTAACTCCTCCAAGGTCTGTTTTGATACAGTGCCAGTTGTGGGTCCTACCCTCACTTCCGTGAGCCTAGCTCTATGTTCTGCTTGTTCTACACAATTCTAGCTAAGCTTTCTATCTGTGCCTGTGCTTGTTTAGAGGATGCTATATGATACCAACAGTTTAACTATATTTCTAGATTATTCTTCCCAACAAATATTTTCCCTATGAAAACCAACAATTAAGCTGCTTTTCATCTAAGTCTAAGTGCTGCCCCCCCCCCCCAATAAAGTTTAGGTTGGAAACTTGGTGTAGAAGATTTCTGGAGCATAGAGAAGTAGAATTTAGTATAAAAAAAGCTCACTGCAAGGTCATTGCCCAGTGCAGACTCAAAACACAGTTCTTTGCAATTACAAATGTTTTATTCAGAGAATTTTCTGAAAACAATTCCTATGATAGCTCATATAAGCCATAATGCTACTTGATATACTGTTTTTTTCGTTTTAAGATGCTGCACATCTATTTCTTCAATTACTTAAGTTACAGCTGATGTTCTAATTTCTAGATCCCTTAAGGCTTACTATAAATATCTTAACCAAATGTTTGATTAGTGTTTCTTGTTTTGCTTCAAAGACCATACAAGTAAAAAAATTGCAATCTTCTGTAACATAGTAGCAATAGTTTATATAACCCCCACATTATGTGGGGTGATTCTTTCACTGCTTAAAGCTACTAGGCTATGTAGTGACTAAGCTTCTGAAAATAAATTTAAAGGTACCTGCCTAGATAGCTCAACATGCACATTCTAATTTTCCTGTTATTCAGACAGTTCCATATCTTTTGGGTTCACCTCATCTATTTAATCTTGCCTAAAAATGGCAATGAGACATTGTGTTATTGAGATACTCTTGAGATACTCTTAAAATACTGTAGGAGCTCTCTTAGCTGTCATAACTAAGAACAGTAAGGGGGGCTGATTAAAATGCAGAATTAAGAAAAATTACACACCAATGTTAATGTAAAACAAAACAGTAAGAGACCTTTTGAGTGCAATTCCATATTGTCTTACATAAACCATGCCCATGGTGACCTAAACCAGGGGTCAGCAAACTCTGTCAAGGGCTAGATAATAAATATTTCAGACTTTGTGGACCTGTAATATAATCTCTGCTGCAAGCATGCAACTGTGCCCTTCAAGCACAAAAGCAGCTATAGACAACACATAAATGAATGAGCCCGGCTATCATTTCACTAAAACTTTTATTTACAAAATCAGGTAACAGGACCTGGTTTGCTCTTATTAATAAGAGCCACAATCCCTTGGAATGCTAGAGGAATAAAATCAACAAAAAAATCACTTGGAAATATATATTAGGAATTGCTTTTCTTTCCTGGTAATCTTGACACCAAGTACATAATCCTTTTAGATATTTATGATCCCCCCAACCTTTTTCAGTTGTTTTCACCCATATCAAATTCACAGTGCCTTTTAGTGATTTGCCTTTGAATCTTTTTTTCTAGTACCGGGAATCGAACTCAGGACCTTGAGCTTGCCAGGCACAGTGCCACTGAGCTAAATCCCCAGCCCTTGCCTTTGAATCTTAAAAAAAAGCCTTTGCTTTTCATATAAAGAGAAACTTTCTCCTGAATTCATGTCAAGTCATTAATGGCAGAAATAAAGTAACTGACATAAAAAGTGCTAGGGACACAACCCACTCTTGGTAAGCAGACAGTTCCACCAATGGGGGCAAGAGTACATGGGCATTCCAGAATGGGGCCTACTGGTCAAGAGGGTGCAATAGGTTTAGACATTAGTCTTCTTTCCAGAGGAAATGAAGGCCATCTGTAATTTGGTGAGCTGGGTAAATGAAAGATAAGAGAGCTTCTACTGTAGTATACTACTGTAGGAAACCCAAAATCCTAAAACTGAGAAGCCTAATTTTCTGAATTGGCATCCTTATTGTTTTTACAGATATTTTAGTTTACTATCACATAATATAAACTGCATTAGAATTAAACCCATTGATTTATAAAAGATTCACAGTAAATGACTAAAGGATAAATGCAAAGTAACATAGGACATTCTAAGTGATAGGAACTTAATGATGAGACTGCCAGAGTAAAACGATTTTTTGATCCCCCAAATCTGATCCATGACCCACAGGGTAGAGGGAAGCTTATCACCAGGATTGTAATCTTGTAACAGATAAAAACTGTCTCTTAAATCTATAAAATCACCATTATTGCTATTTAAGCAGCTTAAAATACCACACTATTACTTATGGTTTACCAAATAATCAAGTCTATACCTCTAGATTGAAGGAGGTCAACTTCTTTCAGTGTACAGTCAACATTTATCTGGAGTTGTCTGTTCATGCTTCTCAATCTTGTCATTTCCTCAGGCTATTAAGAAAGGACCCAAAATAGCAATTGTGGGAAAGTCATTATCAAGCCCAACATTTAAGAACTCCGTATCATGTTAATTGTTCTGATTGGCTATTACCAGGAATAAGGCCTTAGTCCATAAGAGGGCATGTTTAAGAAGTTCTATGTGTATGTTTTGAAAGGAACAGTCACATACAATGGGTAGGTACATCAAAATGGCCACATATAAACAAAAGCTGCATGCAGTGGCAGGCCACAATACTGGACTGTGTTCTATCATGCGACATCGTAATCACAGAACACTGAATATTTCTATGGTTTCACGGTAAGGGAAACTTTCAGAATCAACCCTTTAAGCAATGCCCATGATTTAATCTTGCCTAGTAACAATTACAATAGTACTAATTTTAATTAGTGCTTACATCAGGCACTGAGTTTACGAGGATTCTCTTATTCCTCTATCAATAATTCTTTCAGGCAAATAATAATCTTTTTCATTTCTTCATTTAAGGAAGCAATTAATTTAGTCAATGAAAATGTCAGAAACAAGTGAACTTCCTTCTCCTGCCTCAACCTTTCCAGCAACACACAGGAGCCACTGAAATGTGGAGTGTCCTTGTCTTCAGGTAAGGTTTTCTGGAATCATTTACTTCCCACGCCATTCTTAATTTCCTTACTATTTACATATATGGACAGTAAAAACTAAAAACGTTTATTAGACTCTGGAGCTATGAGGACTGAAGCTTTCAGCACAGCCCAGATATTAAAAGGGTGTTTTCACCTATATAAAAAATCCTAACTGCTACTATAGGAAGACAAAAGAAAGTCCTATTCTGTTTAAAATATGTACTTGGCTAAAAGCTAAATGTGTTAACAGTGAAGAAAAATGAGCAGAATGGATATCTTAATTCACAAAAATGCTGTCAGGCGGTATTATCAGAATAAGTAGGAGTGCCCACTAACTGGGATCAAAAGTTTTAAATAATTGATATAAAAGGCTTATTAGTAAGAGCCACTGTCCCTTGGAATGCTAGAGGAACAACACCAAAAATCACTTGGAAATATATATTAGTAATTGCTTTTCTTTCCTCATTCCTATGGGCAAAGCGTGACATTAATATATAATGTTATATACTGTTATACTGATGTTAAATTCATATATACATGTTATATATAAATATATATATATATATATATATATATATACACCTTGCTTACCAGGCAGTATTAAAAGAGTTTAAAACATGCACTTGAATATTAATTTATATTAAAGATAAAGCATTAGTTAAGGTACCCAAAAAGTGATGCTATCATCCCAGAAACATGGAAAAGAATCCATTCTTTGTGGCAAATTCAAGTACCTGAAGAGGCTGATCATTTCTACATATTTTGGGGTTTGGGAAGAGAGACGTTTTAGCCATGGAGGCCCTGAAGAATGAAGCTTTGTAACAAGTATAAAAATACATACTATACTTAATAGTCAATAAGGTACTACACCTTTGCATATAACAAAAACCCCTCTCAACAGGCGTGTTTCCAAAGACAGCAGAACCAGTGAAACTCATGGTTTATCTGTAAGATTTCTATGTCCTTTTTCAAATGGAGGTGGGGAGCTACTTTTGAAAAGTTACTGCCATTTGTTAAAAGTATACTGTGTTTTCATGGAGGAAAAGATTTGCCATGTATGAGTTGTTTGTAAGATAACAGGATATTTGTATCTAACATTTCAAAATGAAAAATTCTAAGCTCTTCAAAAGGTGGCAGAAATACCTTGAGTCAACTGTTTTAGTTGTCTCACAGAGACACTGAAGACCACTGATGCTCTTTGGTTCCTTGGCACCAATTATGCATTTGGAATTCAAAGCTGTGGGGTAGTCCAAAACGCCAATTAGAATAGGATGAATGGGGGACAGGCCAATTGGAAGATCTCTGCTTCTTGAAATCTTATTTATCCTCCAAAGTAAAACTTAAAATTCCCTCTCCCCCAGGAAACTGTCTCATCTTTGGACCCTATTAGCAAAAGGGCTAAAATTTCTATCTCCAACCTCAGAAAGTGCTTACATCATTACCATTTACCTAGTCAACACTTGAGATTTACTGTCTTATATTACCTTTTCTCTTACACAGATATATACATAACTCTGTAAAAGATGGCATCTTCTGCAGTACTTAGTGCAATGCTTTGAAAACAGCAGATTAAAAAAAATGCTATCATTCATTTGGCACTTCTGTCTACTCAAAGTTTCTGCAACAGCACAGATAGCTGGTCACTAATACGCATTCCAATTTCATTAGACAAGCACTTAACAATTTATATACTGCTTGATAAGAAATTAATTTGTTTGAAAACTTGAAGGCAGCAGTATTTGCTTATTAGCAAAAATGTCAATTCTTGACTGGACATCCCTAATCCCTAATAAGATGAAGATAATGATAGCAGTCTCTGAGTACCTCCTCCACACCAGGCACATTACATACACTGTCACATTTTGTGGACAGGATCATTATAATGTACTTGTTAGAATTCCCTTTTATACATAGGGAAAATCAAATGCAGAGAAGTTAAATATATAACCAGTGTGTGCCAAAGTTATTGAGACTCCAAGCCTGTTTTTCATTATGTCATTGTTCCTCAAATGTGCCTCAATGAACAAAAAGTGGACTCTGACTAAATCATTTATTTCTTGATTAATATGTATATATATTCTTAGGTCATGCATTTTTCCTAAAGTTAAAAAGAAATCAAAGTTTTGCAAAATGCTTCAAATTTGTGTATATATCGAGAAAAATTTTCCAGTATTTTGTGTTTATTGAGAACAATACTGGTTAAATGTCATGTAAATTGCTTAACATATCTAATTCTAAAGAAAACCCCATAAGACGAGTACTTTACCACACACATTTTACAGAGAAGAAAATAAGATGGTGAATATTACTTATAAGGAGATATGAGTGACACAAATAGCAGAAGTAGCATTTAAATTTGCACCTGACTCAAAAGCACACTCACTGTCTTAACCACCATGTGTTGTCCCTTAGCCACATACTCTCAACTGTCCTCTACTTTTCTTTCTCTAAGTCTGGCAGCAGAAACACAAAGCAACCACCCTTAAACTTTTCACCACCCATATGAACTACCCATTTCTGAAGCTAGGAGACAGTTATACAGGGTTCATTATATTAGTCTACCTACTTGGTGTCTTTGGAATTCTTTATAATAAAAAGTTAAAAATAAATTATAGTTCCAGACAGCAGTTTCACCAATTTTTTCCTTTTTCCTTTCTAACGTTGACCTATCAATAAAATCTAAAATCTGGGTGCTTTTCTTCAAGCACTAATCCATGCTACATTGGGAGAGTTTTCTACTTCCAATTAAAAATAAACAGGATTTTATTTATCAGGGATTATCATGCAACAAGTAGTAACTACACAAAGCTTACAGAATTACTTCAAAGAAAATGACTTCTATGCTTAACAAAAATTTCATGCTCTACAGGTACCTAAAGGACTATAAAGTACCCAACCACTACAAGTGGATTCCCATTTGGGCTATAATTCAATATTATCCTCAATCACAGAATTCAACTGAGATTTCAAGTGGGAAAAATAAGGCTGAGATTTGATTTATACTAACATCATTTTTAGGTAAACATAGCTTTGCAGTTTCCCAAGTGTTTAACTAAAACTCTCCCAACAATGACTAAACTGAGCAAGGTAGTCAATGTTGGAAAGAATATGCCTGATTCTCAAGAATCTCTTCCTCAAAAAATTTCACAAGTTCCCTGTTAGCAGCAGAATAAAGTTCAAACATCTAGACATAGTGTTCAAGGTCTAAACTCCATTCTGTATGTACATTAACCTCTAAGCTCATCAGAAATCTCATGCTTGGGCTGGGGATTTAGCTCAGTGGTTCCAGTGCCTGCCTTGCAAGTGCAAGGTCCCGAGGTTCGATCCCCAGTACAAAAAAAACAAAAAAAGAAATCTCATGCTTATTAAGTGACTTTGAGCCTTTATTACCTCATGTTCTTCTCTCTTCAAAAATGCCTTCCCCTTTCCTCTCTGCCTATACAGTACTACTGTTTAGGGAGGGCAGTGGTTTCTCACCCTTTTTTTCCTTCAATCTAATAACCCTATAAAAATCAGATGAAATCTATAGATCTACCTTTCATATAATCACACACATGAAACTGAATATAATTTCAGGGAATTCACAGATCCCCTCTGAAGCCAGAAACTTCAATTAAAGCAGCTCTTTGAGAAAGGAGCTGCATTCATGTTGACCACAAGACGCCTGGCGCGTATATATATATCCACTTCTCTAAATCTGTGACTTCTGAAGAGAGACTAGCCTGAATTTAGAGAGGGTAGGCTCTATGGGGAAAGTAGAGGTTAGGTGAGCCTTGAAGAATGACAGGATTTATACACACAGAGCTGTACAAGGGCATTTCAGGAGGATCATATGAAAGAGCAGAAAAGTACATTGACTAGGTTCAGAAACCAGTTAATGTGTGAGTTCTCTCATTACCCACGAGCATATACAGCACTTACCACACTGTGTTGTAATTATTTGTTGCTGTCATATGCACTAAGCACTTAGCACAGTGCCACATTCAAAAAGTGTATGCAGAAAATGCTTGTTGAATACATGAATGGTGAAATGATAGGTTGGATCATAAGCTTGTGAAATCACAAAATTTTAGAAGATATGTTTTGAAATTTTCAGTAGCAGTCCCCTTTAAGACCTTCACCTCAGTTTCTACAATTACTTAATGAAACTGCTCTGCCTTAAAATATTCTATAGTCAACGCTTTTCCAAAACTCATATTTATCTCACTTGAATTAAAGTACTGAGGAAAATAATTTTAAATACAAGAATAAATGAAACATGGCAAAATTATAAAACTTTTGGCTAAGGTGAAATTTTCATTTCTATTTTGACAGAAAGCAATTTATAAAAAATGATGCTACACTTCGATTATAATTGTCACTTTTTGAAAATACTGGTAAGCCTGTGGAATTTGTACACTGAAAAAATAAAACCTCAAATAATTTTGACAAAAGTCTTGCACTCACTGTTTGAAAACAAACAATACTCTGGCAGGAAGAGAATGTAAAAGAAAACAAAATGGCCTCAACAGCCAGTGGCCCCATCTTCGTATCAACACATCCCAGCAACTTACCGTGGGGATCGCTGTGGTGCAGCTGACTCTTCTGAGCCGTCTCTGCATCAGGTCATGTTCCATACCATTAACTTCAGCCTTCAACCGCTCTAGCTCGTCTTTCTCAAGTTTCAACTGCTTTGCTAACCTCTCCATCCTTGCTCGCTGATGTAACAGCAAGGCTACAGCATTACAGATAAAGTTGAATAACAATGAACAAATGACTGGAAAATTTTTATATGCATTGCTAATGTATTAAAGACCCATCAAATTTCAGGGCTGGCATTTACTGTCTTTCTAATGCTCCTCTGCCTCCATATTTGCTTTAATTCAGCTCTTAACTGCTACCAAAAGTAACATCACGCATACATCCCTCTTGTCCTGTCATCTTTAGTTTGCCTACAATTCTCTAACTACACTTTTGTGCCTTAAAAGGCTCAATATCATTACAATCACTTCCCTTCTTATATATTGAAAGAATACTAAGTTCTCAGATATCTTGCAACAATCAGAACAGACTTTTAAACATCTCCATTCACCTTTATATTTTCTTAGGTCTACTATTAGCTAATCTAACAGTATTAATTACTACTTCCTTTTTTTTTGTGGTGGAAGTGGTATTGGAGATTAAATCCAAGGAGTGTTGATCTACATACCCAGTCCTTTTTATTTTGAGACAGGGTTGGCCTTGCTAAGTTGCCCAGGCTAGCCTTGAAAACTTGTGATCCTCCTGCCTCAGCCTCCCAAGTGGTTGAGATTACAGGTATGCACTAACACACCCAGCTACTAATTCCACTTCTGATATTTATGCCTTTCAGGTCATCCTCATTAGAAGATTTAAATTCTTTTCATTTGATGAATTCTAATCCACCCTGTATCAACCTGTGTGTATTTTCGACAATATCCATTTACTAGTCTATATTTTCCCCATGTTCTCCCTAAAAAACGTTACTAGGTTATAGTTATCATGCCTACACTTTCACATTTTAAAGTCTGTAGATGGCTCTGAAGCACTTACCCAACATTTAATAAATACTAAACAGCTAATATAAAGTGTTTCATTTTGAAAGGAGATTGCACTTCACCACAAAGATTAAATTTCATAAAAGGGTTAAAATTACCTTGTGTATAGGCATAGTCATCTGATCCAGAACTAGAACTCCTCTGGTATTTATGGCTCCCTTTTTCTCCCCCAGAGCCTGGTATCACTGAAATGGGCTGAATGGGCTCTGGTGCTGCAGAACGCTCTTCTTGGTCCACTAAATTTAAAAGATTTTCAGTCGTTGCTCGGCCTACAGTAATTTTAAAAACTGTAGTTGGGTTTGGTATCACCCGAGGAGATGGTGATGGAGCACATGAAGGTCCAGTTGGCTGTGTATATGTGATATACACGGGATTAACACTAAATGGAGGTTTTGGTTGACTAGATATCCCTCTTGAAGGAGAACTTGAAGGTGGTGTGGTGGCTGTGTACAGTGAGTGCTGATTCCGTGGAGATGGTTGATTACTGATGGGTGAAGGACTCCTAGTAATTGCTGTCCCAGGTCTTTGAGAAGGTTCAACTGTAATTTCTATCTTCTTCATGGAACCTTTGGGTAAGCTAGATGCTGTGTATGGGAGATAGGCTACTGAGTGACTCCCCTGTTTCTGATAGCTAGGAGGTCCTTGCTGATATAGATGGGGTGGAGTAGTTGAAGGACTAGGTGGCATAAACACGTGGGAACTTGGGTGGCCCAACTGGGAAGGCTGCACTTGATGCTGCGGAGAGCTGAAGGGAGAAGGACACTGTGAAGGAGGTGGTGAATGGTAAGCAGACTGAGGGATCTGCTGCTGTTTTGGAGAATACTGAGAAGGCTGATAGTTCTGTTGGTGTGGATAAACAGGTAAAGGACGTTGGCTATAATGAGGCACTGGGCCCTGTGGTGAGGACTGCCATGGTGTGCTCTGAGGAGTCTGTCTTCCTGATGAACTCTGAGATGTCTGTCTAATATAAATAGAACCAGGAGACCCATAGAGATTGCTTGGAATTTGTGGAAGAATCTGTAAAGCTCTTGGTATAGTCTGTCCCGAAGGGAGGTTTTGGGATACTGTAACAGTAATTGGATTTGTATTATACCGAGGTATGTGCATGTATGAAGGAGGTGGCGGCGGTGGTGGTGAAGGCCCTTGCATAGCGGATGGATTCATTACTGTTTGCATGGAAGATGGCTGCTGAGGTGGCTGTGAAGGTGGCGTAGCTGCACTTCGGTTCTGTTCATTCATAAAAAATGGATTGTAGTTGGGAGTAGCAGCCACAACAGCTGGAGCTGAGTGTGGTTCCTGAACTAAACATATCAGCTGTTTACCTGCTGTATGCTGTGGATCAATATGTCCATCACTTGAGCTATGTACCAGTGTTCGACCACCATTAAGTTGAGCTCCATCTCCTGGGTGGTAGCTACTAGGAGAATGGATACCCAGGTTAATATGCAAAAGGCGATTTCTATTCATCCTATTGTCATCTGGGCTATGGTATTCCATATATAAGTATTTGCTGCTCTCCTGGGAGAGGGCTCGGCAACAGGCTTCAAGATTGTTGTTATTCTAATGGAGAAAAGTGGCAAAATTAACAAATATTAAAAGTGCAAGTTAGACTTTGCCAGAGTGTTATGCAAAGACTACTGTCATAGTGTAAGTAGAGAGCAGTATTTTTAACCACAAAAAACTTCATGGTCATCTTATCCTGAAAAAGGGATCCCAAGCAATTCACATTATTTTACAAACATTTAGCTCATTACTAGTACTACCACTACTGCTACTGCTACAGAAATATAAAGTACCTACTAATGAACACTGTGACTCAACCCCAAGTTTTCTGACTCCAAATCCAGGACTCATTTTATACTTGTTGCATCTCAACAAATTAAAATGTTGGGCTAATCTTGGATTCACCACAATTGCTGCAATATATAAGTATAAGTAATATCCATCATTAATTGTTATATTAATAAACATGAAAATAACCATGCTTTAGTTTTCAAAAAGCACTGAAACTACCAAAGGAGAAAAATACTATAATAAAATTCCTGAAGGGTTAAAACAATAAAAATTATAAAGCAGCCTCCACTTTTCATTTACCCAAGTTTTCTCTAAGTAACTTCAACTTGTACTATTACAAAAGATTTAAGCAAAACAAATCATTAAAAACCAACTGTACATTTTGAACTATGGCTCCATAATTTTGCCAGAGTTAACAGTAATTAACTGGTCATGACCGTTTTAATGAAATTCATTCTGACTCCAACAGTCTGAAAAGTTCTTACCTGTTGAAAGGTAAGTTAGTGTACTTTCAAAATCACTGAAAGATTTGAATGTTTTTAGTTATACACACAAAGACAGTAATAGCAAACTGACATTTTAGAAGTTCCTTGATAGTAATCAAAGTAATAAATGGTTCTCTTTAAGATATTACAAGGCAATTTTCCATTAAATTACAAAATTCTGAACTATTTTATATTAGAGTAAAACAATTACTTCCTGCTTTATGAAACAATCCATAAGTTTCTCAATTATTGTTATGTAGATCATAAATATACATACAGATATGCACACACATATATATTATTATATATTTACTTTAGAGAGAGTACATTTTATATAAAAATAAAAGGAAACATTTCACTTCTGCTGAATCAAATAAGGTTAAACCTAAAACGGGAGATACAATGGTATTAATTTTAGTCCGAATAACTATTAGGGTCCATCTGCTCCAACTGGCTTCTACAGCTAAGGGAAGAGTTCCATGGCTCAACAATAGGCACTAAACTAATTAACTGGAGAGCTACTTCTAGATTCCTGGTCTCTTGAGTCCCAATACTCTTTCCACACAGTAATTTCAAGGAACAGGATGTTTGACCAAAAGGACATTCCTAAACTGGAGCTTTAGGAAGTAAAAAAAAAATTCAGTCAAGTGAATCCTTGCAAAATGAATTCATGGGAATTTAAAGAATTGGCTTTACTGAAACCACATAAGTAATTATTTTCCTTAAACCTTTTGATATTAAAATCTTAAATGAATATAAAAAGTATCAGTTGAAGTTTAAGAAGAGAATAATTAGAACTCAAAGGTTTGACTTTCTTATCCTGACCAAAAATCATGCTGAACAAGGGAAAGATATTAAAAGCAAATCTGAAAGGATTCAGATTGATTGCCAACTAGAATGTGTTACTGGTAGATATTTGAGGGAAAATATGAAAAATTAAGGTATCTTCAAGTTGTTTATAAACCTATGGGATAGGAGAGGACACATTACCATTTGACATTTTTACTGATTTGACATTTCATATTTTCTACATGAAAATAAGGAAGCTTAATTAGTATGGTCACAAAAAGGATCCAAATTGAAAATGATAAAAAGTTGATTTGTCAACCTATCAAATGCATGTCTACAGTGACAAGTCAAATTTTTCTATGAAGAAAATTTTAAAATCACAAATACAAGATATCTAAGTATTATCTTTATGGAAGTATTATAAAAAATAGAATAGAATCAAATGTGGTATCTGACTTGCTAAATCTCAAGAATAAATGGCTAAATGATTAGAATGAATAATCGAAAATGTAAAATAGGAAGAAAAGGTCCAAAGGGGTAGGGGTAGTGGGAGGGGCTGGGGAAAGGAAAAATGATGAGAAA